GGAGATGGAGGAGGGAGCTGCCTCTGGGCTGAGGACGTGAGTAATGGAATGGATAGTTAGAAGATGGAAGTGGGATCACAAGTGCGATTTCCTTTTCCTAATGTTTCCCGAATTTGTCCTAAAAATATATATATATTTAGTTTTGAGGGTATTTGAGTCTATTTAAGTGGGTTTTTTACTATTTTTCAAAGTTTTTTTAACAAAACTAACATTTATGAAAATAAGAGAGTAAATTTTGACTATTTTTGATATAAAAAAAAACTCCATAAGATATGGTGTTCCCGCAAACTTCTTGAAAAAATATCGCAATTCTTATAGCATGTTCAAAATGAGCTGAAAATAATGCATCTTGTTTGCAGTTCAGATGAAAATTCAGATTTACATTTCATTTTTATTGCTTCATAGTTATCAAACAAGTTCAAAGCCTGCTGGATTGAAAACCCCAATCATGTTAATAGTGAAGCCTGCTAGATTTGATTAGTTCTGAGAACTATCCCTTGGTTGCATGTCTTCAGCACAAACGTAAAAATAACACATTTATCTGCCTTTGGGAATTAAGTAAAAGCGCAAAGGGTAACCAAATGAATCATCTATGTAACAAAATTCTCCTTCAAAACCTCTGTATATACGGTTTATCAACAGGGGAGAAAAAGAAAGTGCACATATTTGCAATTTGAAACATAAAAGTGCACCGGGTAACACAACCGCCAAACTAAGAGGAAAAGTCTATACATGACTATCACCACATCTTATCAATTGTTTCTTCACTTGGGCCTGGTGGAGCTCTATCTCAGTACGGTGGTGGAGGAGGAGGATAAAGTCCAGGAAAAGGACCTAATTGAAAAGCAGAAAACAGAGACTCAGTATTTGATGAGTCATGCTGGCAGCAAGAAGTACGAAACATAAGAAGAAATGAAGTTACCTGGAGGATAATAGGACGAGGGTTGTGGAGGTGGTGGATACGTTGATGGAGGATATGCTGAAGTTGGTGGGTATGGTGGGGGAGCATAGGCAGATGGAGGGGGACCATATGCGGATGGTGGATACCCTGCTGAACTAGGTGTGTATGAAGGATAGGGAGATGGAGCTGGGTAGGCTGCTGGTGGTGGTGGGTAAGGTCCAGATGCTGGTGGTCCATAAGGAGCGGGGGGCGGAGGTGTTGAATATAGATGAGATTGTGGTACATGTGGTGCTGCATATGGGGGAGCAGATGGAGCATAGCTTGCTGTTGGTTTCTGCAGTGACCCAAACACAGTAATTCAGTTGGATAGGTAATTAATATGAATACATACAAGACAATACTGTTCAATAATAACCCGGTTATAGTGAGAAAAAGTGCAACTTACATTGGTCTTCGCATAATGCATGATTACCCTCACTTCTCCTGCATATCTACAATGAAAAAGATTTAATGTCAGAAGTCTAACAATTTTTCAATACAAAGGAATATTTCCCATAATCGTAGCAAAATGAAATGTAGATGCTAAAGGACAATTAGTTTGATGAACTTCTAGATACAAAAACCAATTCTGTGCTTCTGTTATAAAGGTAAGACAAAATTGGCTACTCAGGAAGGATGAAAAGTGTTGCAAGAACTTTTAGATATGAAACCATTCCCACCAGTTGTTTTCTCTTCTTTAGCCCAAATTGTAAATTAACACTCAACTTAATAAAAGGGATATATACCATACAAAATTTTAACCCCATGTCCAACCTAGCGTGTCCTGAAAGGGATGCCCTGCACTACAGATAAGGAAGTATATCAATTCCCTCTCCTTTGATTTCCCCTAATTTTCTTCCTAGTATAAAGGAAAAGCTCGTGACTGATTAACACGACCTAAGTTTGAGCTGTTGTGAGGATCAATAGATGGACCATAAAGCCATATGAAAGTCGTTCAAATGAATTTGTATTACTTTAAACTAATTGTTCCCTTGTAGAGTGATTTTCATTGGAGATTCTGCAATCAGAAATGTCATTGTATGCTAGGGACATCAGTCTACTTAGAGTTGATTTATTTGGACCAACAGATGCTCACTGGTGTTACAGCTTAAACATGGAAGGTGCTAACACAATTCACCCCATGTTTACTCCTAAAACAACTGATAAACTAGCACGGTCCATTCATAATCCAACTTTCAAAACCTATGTCATCTAATGCAATGCAGGTCCAATACTAAGCTGTCTCATCATGGAAAAGAGTAAAATAAAAAACTTAACGAAAGGATGCAATGTGATGTTAAAGCAACAGAGGGATGGAAACATAAAGATCATTGACTTAGCATGCACGGTATACAAAAACCAACCGCTGTGCACCTAGAGTTTTGACTAAGTACAGATGGAACAGGGAGCAATAACAATTGAGGTTAAGAATTTCGGAATATGGACATTCAACTAGAACATTGTAATTTGTACAGAAAAATAACAACACATCTGATTCGTATCACTTATAAACCATTTAGATTTTATTATAGAACAAAATAAAACAGTTTATGAGCTCAAACTTATGTAGTTACCTGCCAGTTTTAGTCTGGAGCGTCCAGGCACTGTCATCATAACCCTGTGAAAGAACCTTCTGAAGTTGAACCCTAAAAATAATCACACACCAAATAATCCAATTAGCAAACTCAAAAACCCAGAACAAGCAAAAGGGTATCTTAAAAAATTGCCAAAATTAGGCCTAGATTTATTTCTGTGTAATCTCTTTGGTTTGGGCTTTGCCCCCTATTTTACCCACACACAAAAAAAAAGCCAAAATTGAGATATTCAAACACAAAGGATGAGAATCATACTTTCCCTCGCCAATAAAGTCGTCCAAGGTGACAGTATTGCTATTCCAGACCAGAACATTCATTTCCCTAAGACCTTCAACCAACGGAAACACGAACTTCTCTTGGAATGTAGGATTTTTACCACCGTCTACACCAGATAAATCAAATTGGGCTTAAGTCCAATTTCAGATCTGAAGGTTTAGATTAAGAAAAGAACAAAAACCCAGAAACAAGAACAAAACTTTAAGCCAAATTTCACCAAGTAAAATTGGGTAAAAATTGAAAAATACCTGTGCATGTTCTGGTACGGTGCTTGGTGTTAGCATATTCAAGACAAACATATGGGTCTTGCCGTGAAAACCATTCCGTATCCTTCAACTTGTTACAAGCAACAACTGCAGCACCAGATAATGAGAACCCACATCTCAAAAACTCAGAATTGAGAAGAACACACCAGAAAACGGAAAATTAAACGAGAAAAAATAGAAAAGACGTTGATGGGTTTTGTAAAATAAAATTGTAGGGAAGAGAAATTATACCAGTGACCTCAAGGAGCTGCCCTTGAATACCAGAAATCGACATGGACGAATAGTTAGGAAACAAGTAGTGTGGTGGTGCAGACGAATAATGGGATGAAAGTCGATATCTTGACATCTCTCCCTCTGAAAGGTCTTGTCCTTTTTATACAATAATGTAATTGCGCGTTTTTTCTTCTTTTTAATTTTGATTTTTTTAATTAAAATTTAGAACATGGTTTGGTTAAAATAATAGCCGCAGTTAATGTAATTCAACGAGGGTCTTTAATTTTTTTTCCAGTTCTGGGACTTCGAGGAAGGAACAGGAGACGGTGATGGTTGGTTCCGTGAAATTAATGAAATCTCAGTTTCAGCGATGGAAAGCGCGTGGAACTAGCAAGACTTTCCTTTTTTCTTTTTTGGTTAAATTAAGGAATTGACACGTAGGCGTGGTTTTCTCGCAAAGATGGCTGCATGGGCAGACACGCTGTCCGAACGCGGCATATCTTTGTCTCTCTAATTTGGACACACGATTTTCTTACCGTCGGCAATGACATAGGGGTGATTAATTACTCCTTCTCATTAGGAATTTTTTTTGGTAATTACCATGAGATGTCTGGGTCAGTTTGTGCACATCTCATTAGGAATTTCGGGTTGATATTATGATTCTATTTATTTTTTTTCTTGTAGGATATTATGATTCTATTTAAAACTTCATTTACAAGAATTCAATTGTTCGGTTGAATTATTCTTGTCACGCAACAATAAGTATGAAATAAATAAATAAAACGAGTCATCAATTTGAACACATGCCTTAATTAATAATTAGATTGTTTCGTCAATATGCCATTGAAGTTTTTTTTTCCCCAGTTGTATCTCGTAATATAAATTTATTGACTTTCACAATTCTTATTTTTATTGTATCGATCCATTAATATAATCTCATTGAACTAATTTTAAAGAGATCAACATATATTTTTATTTATTTGTGTTTAAATAAAAATTGAATAATTGTTTGGTTGGGCCCCACTTCAACTTAGACTTGGAACTGAGTTGGTATATAAAAATGAGAATGGTGCAAGAAAATAAATGGTCAAAGTTGACCTGTTACATTGGAGACTAGTTGGAGTCTTTCTCCACCTTCATCGTGGTGGATGCTCCTTTTTTTTTTTTGTTTCTTATAGGAAAAGAAAAAGATCGATAGCAGGCCAAATGACAAAGTCTCCATTAGACCAAATCAGCGACATGTTAAGAAGAAATATACAACTAAATCCCTAAGGCATTTGCTGGAAGTAAGGCAGAGTGGGCTTCGCAACTTAGTTGAAATTCACAATGTTTGGGTTTGAAAAATAGGAAATATTTGTGAATTTGTCTTTGCTGGATTGCTTGTTGCAGGCAGGATAGCATAAAAACAATGGTCTAAATTATTCTAAATTACAAGGATGGGAACTCGAACTTGGATGGAAGAGGACGGTCACTGTCCTGCAAATGAAGGATAACATTAAAAAGGCAAACAAAAAGAAAAGAACAAAAGACTCAAAGTATACCCCAGAAAGCAGGAAATGATATATTACAGGTTTCTTTTTTTCTTTTTACAAAAAATAAAATGAATTCCAACAATTCCCATCACAGTTTGATGTTGATTATTCGCATCTCCAATAAAAAAAATTTGCTTGATCAATCCACTAACCAGAAACATACTTCAATTACAAACTGAACGAATGGATTGAACATGACCTATTATCAGCAACTGCTGGACTTAAAGCTTGCAAACCATACTATGTACAGATTCCCTAAGTTCCAGGCACCAACGTCAACCCCCTGATTTACTCACTTTCATAGTCGTCATCATCTCCAAACGTGAAAACAGAGGCATCCGCGGCCATTGCCTTAAATTCACTTTCCGAGTTTGGAGCCTCGAGGCCTGGGACATTTCCACCACCAACAGAAACTTTTGGCTCACTCGCAGCAGGTACCTGTTTCGAGTCCACGTTTCCAATAGAAACTTGTTTAGTCGCATGTGTTAAACTTGCAATTTGATCTGATTTGGTATTAGACTCAGAACTGGTGGTTGTACTGGCCACAGTTCCACCTGCTGCTGCTGAAGTTGCTTCTGCTTGCCGGCTCTTGGAAGAGCCAGATTCCTCTGCCTCACTGTCTGAAAACACATCATCCTTATCTTGATTTCCTGGGCTTTTACTTTCTTGTGGAGCAGCTGTACCCCCGTCATCTGAGGAAGTATTGGTACCTGAGCTTTCATCCGGTTTCTTAGTAGAAGTTTCAGTGTTAGGTGTCATAGGGACATTGCCGTTATAATCCACTAAAACCACTTCAACCTGAAATCCCGGGGAAGGAAGTTTTCTCTGCAGAAAGCCCATTACAAACTACAGTTAAGTTGGCCATCCTTTTTTAATCTTTTAACTAAATAAGAAATTATTGAGAAAAGGAGGTATTAAACAAAATTAAAAAACATAAAAGAGAAGCAGAGGGAGTCCTATGAGTCCAATTGAAATACCATCTCGACAACCGAGCACTCAATTGTATCATATAACGCTCCACTGAGTGCACTCCACTAAAAGCTCCCAGCTATATCTCCCACACCACATGATGAGAATACAAGCAGTGATAGATGGTAAACAGCAAAAGCAGAGTGATAATGCAAAAAAGTGTGCTCTCAAGGTGTAGAATGGCTCACTTTGTTTCAGCCAACAGGTATCAATATTTGATAAATAGCTAAAGTTCCAGGGCATTTTTCCACTTTTAACACTTCTGACCTAAGACCAACCCTTAACCAACCTCACCATCTGTTATTTTATCCAGGTTGTGGGGCATATGGTAAAGTAAATACAAAGCAAATATATTTCAACAATTGCAAGTGCTATACATGAGCAGACCACCAACAATGAGTTTCCAAGGTTCTGTATTTTGCTAGCACAAAGCATACATCTTGAAATAAAAATGCAAAATAAGAAAGAGATGTACCTTGTCAAACCCATCCAGATCGTTGTTGGTTAAAACTTTTCTATTTTCAGTCATCGTTGTGTTCAACCAGCTGGGAATAAATGACAATAACAGTATTAGAACAAAAGAGAATCTGTTCCATGTCACACAAAGCATAAACAAATGGGAAGGAAGACTACATACCAGTAAAAATCTCCTTGACGATCATGAAAATGGATTTTGAAGTCCCCAACTAACTCTGTCAAGCCAAGTTCCCCCGGCAGCGCAAAGACCATTACACCCTTCTTTGGAGCAGAAAACCAATAATCTTCTGGCTGTCAATATAATTTACATGCAAAACCCAAGTTATCATAAGGACGGCAGAAAGCTACAAATTACGGAAAAAAGGCAGAACCTTTAATGAAACTTGTATCTAACTTTTATCAAACAAAAAAAACCTACCGAAAGACCCTTGGTTCTTGGATGCTCTTTCGTGGAAAAGAGAACACCTGAGAGCATTAAAGCAAAGGCATCAGCATAATAATAAGCTTATAAATATGACTTTCAGAACTATGCAGTACTTAAACTCTAAGAAATACATGCTTTTCATGCGTTTATGAGTCTTTGCAAGCATCAGCATGACATAGTTCAACACAAACAAAATGGATAAATGTGCTTCCAAGTGAATCGTGAGACACATTTTGAGCTCACTATCAGGTCAGCTCTGAATATGGTAACAAGATCTTTACTCTTTGTCTTTGATATCAGTGTAGAAATTTTTTTTTTAAACATCCCACATTCATAATTTCATATAATGAATTTTTTCAGAGTTCTGAGGATTATTTAGTAAAAAGAAACGTGAAGCACTTGTTAGTGTCGAGTTAGGTCATCTTTCCACATTCAACAATGTGCAATAGTACTTCGAATAAAAAACAAGTGTAGAAGAAGATCTAGCTGCAGATAACCCTAAGAAGACAAAAGGCAAATATAACAGATGAATGTGATGGTAGAAGGTTTATCATTAGACAGCATAGTAGGAAAGTGGAAGGGTGGTGGTAACAGACGCAGCGAGGATGATGGAACACACCATTATGATCAGAAACAGTAATGGAGGGCCTGATCCAGTATGGGCACCTATGAAGCCGGAAGCCCCTAAGCATGCACCTGCATATGATGCAAACAAAATATTCCATCAGTGTCCATGTGAAAAATAAAGATACTACAAAATGGATATATAGCTAAAAGTATACCTGCGCCCCGGTGGGTTTTCACCATTGAAGTACGTTAAGATGCGCTCGAAATATTTAACGTACCTCTAGAAAAACAGCAGACAAAAATTAGCCCAACACATAAGATGTAAGAAGGGTAAGTGGTAAGAAATCAAAAATATGTAGCTCTCAAAAGAAAATAGAGCAAATAATACTAACAATCTGACTTGGAAGAACAAGCCCCTTTCCATCAATACATCTTTTCTGGTTGTAGTAGTCAATAGACTCCTCAGCGGTTGGAAAAAACTGAAGAGATGGCAAATAAGTCTACAACAATAACTAAACAAGATACAATATGAAACTGAGAAATTAACTCATTTTTCCATGAGATTCTTTTTCACACTTTCACGAAAAATACTATGCACAAATATACCTTCAAGTAAAGAAGAAGACTGGAAATCATCAATCCTGTTCTTGCCATTCCAGCCTTGCAATGCACGACGACAACATTCTCAATATCCTCTTTCAACCATGAATAAGCGCTTCGACAAAACAACGTTATTAGCTGAATTGGTGGGCAATTATGGTCATCGAACGGAAAACTAGCCACCTGTAGACAAAATGATAAATCAAATACAGGAAGCTGTCACAACAGAACACCTTTGTTTTGAATAATTACAATCCAGACACAGCACATGTACTTCAAGCGATTATCCTTTGTTTACTACGGCCTTTATTCTTTATTATATAAAAAAGGAATGCACCAATATCTAGACTATCAGCTTAGTGGGGTGCCTATATCAGATCTGTTAGGATATAGAGTAATTGTGGAGTTCCAAAAAGAACATTAGAATATAACCAAATAGGACTTGTCACTTGTGTTGTTCTAGTCTCATGAACTTAACATATGGTTCTGTTCTTCATGGTTCTTGAAAATAACATTGACTCACTCGTCAAAAAAGGAAAGGTAAATTTATTGGGATTCCACTACCACCACTATCAACGCCATCACAATTACCACTACATCCCTAACACTTAGTGGGTACCCATTCCCCGTCCCTACTTGTGAGAAGTTCTAGTTGAATGCCATGGTTTAAGCTCAATAATAACCTAGCCACGCTTCAATTCCAGCCTACCACAGTACAGATCACTAATTTGAATGGTCAAAATGAAAACCGTTGGCACACCCACAAGTGAAAAATCATGACTCACCTTTCCTTCAAATAAGGATGCGTCATACAGCCTTTCAGAACAAAGGTTATAAACTTTGTACTTGCCCTGCACATATCCCAAGATCAGATATTACAACATGTAAAAATACATTGAGAATGATATTTCTTACCATATCAGTACAATATATCATAGCAATTGGCAGAAGCTTAATCACATTTCTTTAACCAACAAAGCAAATAAAAAAAGGGTATAAAACAGTCACACTATATAAGAAATTTACGGATACAGTTTCTGATGTCAGCAAAACCATACATGAAATAGCTAATGAAAGAAGCTGCACTTCTGTAGCTAACAAACTAAATACACAAGGGTTAAGTTCCACTCAATTCAGATAAAAACACCAGCAGTTCCGAGTAAACACAATAAACGGTTGAAACATTATGCTTGGGAGATTGTCAGCGTGTGTGCCTTTTTGTTCAGTGTTTTAAAATTAATATTATCTGGAGTCTGAACCAAGATGCAACAAGAGAGAAAGAGATAGAGTTTATCTAAGTGATTAAGTATACTCAGAAACATTAGTATACTCAGAAACATTATGAATGGATCATCATAAGGTAATATAAAATCTTGTAAAATAAATATTAAATGAAGATTAAGCATTAAGAGGATTTTAGCAATGCTATCCAAAGATGAATATAAAGATCATGAACCAAAATGCATTATTACCTGATGATGAGTTTCAAAGAACTTAATCACTTCTTCCATATGATTTCTGTAGAATCCCTGCATTACATATTTAGGTAGACTGAATTTTGGTGATACAAAGGAACAGGACAAGTGAAGTCAAATGTAGAGTATATTACTTACTAACCTCAACATATCCTAGAAACCCAGAGCTCATATCACCAGCAGGGAATCCCATAGCAATAATGTTCTCTGTAATATAAGTCATGTCCAAATCAAATCCTCCTTCCTATACACAAGGCAGAAAATTGGGTTATACAAATGCTAAAAAATTCATAACATGTGGAGACGTCTTGTTTGCTTTGAAATGACAGAGACTACAGGGCAAGGAAGCAAAAGGAAAGCAGTTTATAAATTATAACCCCTATAAAGAAGATAAAAATAAAAAAAGACCACAGCAGCAAGAAATCAGTAACACAGGAGACCCACCTGGTATCTTCGTTTGTTTTGGGAGACAACATGTCGGGCCTTAACCTGAACAGCCTTCACCACACTCTTAGAAGAATCAGCTATGCCTTTTGTAATTGTTCCAATAAAACCAGGTTGCTGAGTTGTTGGACTTCCACTTGAACCCTCATCTGCCGATGGAGCTTTTGGAGACAAGCGCAATCCTAACCCACTAGTAAAGCGTGCAAAGGGTGATTGTCCAGCATTCCCAGTTGTAGAGCTGTCCTGCATTGGTGCTATTGGCTGAGGAATTTTCAGATTTTTGGCCCATGATGACAAGCCAGAAGAAAATGGCTTATTTGGCACATCCTGAGAATCTGATCCAGAGTCCGTGGCAGCAGGAGGTTGTGCCTGAGGAGCTTTAGTTTGAGGAGCAGTCGATGAATCAGCGGATTCTGAATCCATCCTATTACCCCAGCGACCCTGATGGAGAAATGGGTATTGAAAATAGAAGTTCACAAACCCAGCATATGAACTTTCTGTAGCTGAAAAGCACACACATAACAATTATTTTAAGACAAAAACCATGGACTTTTTATTTTCAGCCAAAAATATATAAGAAAAAACCAACATATTCCAATCTTCCTCTATTTTCTTTCTCACTTTCTAATCATTCTTATTCTCTCCGTGGGCTAAAATAGAAGAGAAAAAGACAAACAGAAGTGTGCAATTATGTACAATGTCCATCAGTTAATGTAGCATAAAACTGAACCACTTACGATTAATACTATTACACTGATGATCAACCAAGCAACTATCACTCCACAAATTCAAATGACAAGAGAGACCAAAAAAAGAAAAAGCACATAACCCTTATTGCTCTACCCGTGTAAAAAAAAAACCTTTTTATAAATCTACGTCAAAATGAAAATAAAACATAAGAGATATCCAAGCTTAAAGACTTCAATAATGAAACAAATGGTTTTATAAACAGGTTTCCCCAAATCTAACCAACTGTTTCCAAGCTTTCCCGGCCAATCCCGCGAGTAGAAACATGGAATTCTTAGTTTCTGCATTTCCAATAGTTCTTGCTCTCTCCAAGCCAACCGTCAAAACTAAAGCCTATCTTCTTTAAATAAATAGAATGCTCCATTTCTGGGTACAGTCAGTCTAACACATAGCCCTTGGCATGCTTATCCAAATAGAAACAAAACTTCAGCTTATCTCCAACTCACAACAACGTTATCAATTCAAGCACCATTCTTCAAGTTACATTTCTACACATAAAAACATATGCATATGCATATACATATGAATTCCATTGAAGAAAACTATCAAAAAATCAGATTATTCTGATGAAGTGAAATTGAAATAACCACAAGATCCGCATAAAACGAAATTAAATGAAAACACTCACTATGAACAAGAAAACGTGAGCTCAGTGACTAATTAAAGCAATTTTAGAGATCTACGAATAGGATCCAATCTTACCGAGATGAAAAGCCCGAGAATTTAGAAGCCCCGAGGATCTCACACAAGTAAACTGAAGCCTGTCTAGGGTTTCACGCAGAGAGAGACAGAGAGAGAGAGGGAGAAACTGAGGCTTGGTAATCGGGCGGGTTAGCAAGGTCTTTCTGCTATCATTTTCACGTGCTTCGGTTTTGGTCAACCGAATCGACGGTGGTGATGTTACCTTGACTCTGTGATATCTTCGGCGTTAGATCGTCATCTCGCGGCAATAAAACGGTACGATGTTGTTGGCTTGTACAGAGTAATGGCTTAAAACGGTAAGGTGCGTTGCGTTTGTTATTTTTCATTTTCCCCTACCTGTTTAGTAAATACTAAATACGTATAAAATTGCAATAATTTTTCTTTTCTTTTTTTTACCAAAAGACAATAATTTTTCTTTTACGGCATGTTTTTTTTTTTATCAACGATGGGAATCAGAACATTTGGAGGAAAAATACCACTCGATCAAAGTCCCAAAAAAATACTTTGGACCAATACTTTAAACATATATTCTTATTAGCTTTTTCGTACGCGTTTTCGCACTTGTAAGAGGCTTTTTAAAAAAAAATTTAAATTTTATTTTAGAATTAAAAAAGATAATGGATAGTTATGTTCTATAAAAATAGGATCTATTATCTAATTTTTCTTTCAATTTTAATTTTTTTAATATGAAAAAGTGTGAATTTTTCATATTATTCTCATTTAATTAATAATTTCAATTCTTAATGTTTACATTAACAAAGGACATTTTCTGGTATTTTGAATGTTTTACCATTCTCTGCTTTTGCTTTATATATATAGATTTTTATAATTTTTAATAATATAAAAGAGTATTAAAAAATAAATCCATTATGCATAATATATGTATGTATATAGTTTATTTAGTTATTATAGGAATAAGGGTTCCGGTAAGTGTGGAGATCAATAAAATGAACAAAGAATTCTTACGGAAAAAAAAGTTTATTTTCCCCTGTTTTTTAATAGGTGCTGAAACCCAAAAACATTATTATTGAAAATCATTTTGAAAATTTCTCACGGACTAGTATGAGTTAGAAAAGAAAAGCCTTCAGAACGAGGTACACCACGTGGTTAGTGTATCATCCAATATACATAGAATATGTAGAATTATTTTCTAACTTAATGCATTGCTTTTTATGACATGTGATTGGCTACATTGGAAATATTCCACATGTACTACGTCTATTGGATGGTACACCAGCCACATAGTGTACCTGAAACACCCAAAAATTATTCAGAACTACCAAAATAGGGTCTCGAAATCAATGTTTGCTATAAATAAATAATAAAAAATTATTTATTTATAAAAAGAACACATTGTTTTTATTTTATTTTTTGTAATTTTTAAAATTTAGTATAAATGTTTCGAGAATATATGATTTTGACTTTACAATAGTTAAATATAAGTGGTATATATTGTCACATTTCTATGTTCTTGTTCTTTTTTAAATAATATCTACAAAATGTACCACTCTCGTATTTTATGTCAAATTTTCAATATAAGAAGGTACTATATGTATTTCTCTCTTGTATATTACAAACTATGTATCGTATGTTTTCTTGTTGATGATAGCGATAATATTGATGATAGTGACTTTCGTTTATAATTCTTGTAGCCGCTTTGATAGAGGGCTTGTTGTCCAGGAAATATATTACCAAGAAAAATATTTGTGAATTGTAATAGGTCCTTCGACTCGTGGGAAAATGTTAGACTAAACAAGAAGCAACAAGCTACCGTGTCATGGCCACCATGGCTGATGCATATAAAACTATGGAGAGGGCAGAACCAAGCAACAAGCAAACCAAATGAGTACACAAATCATTGGGAGATTAAATAAGAGCACAGCGGCCAATTTGTTTTGAATTGATTTGGTTACATAATTTATATACAATAACCATTGAAACTATTTAAGGAATGAATCCCAAGTAAATGTAGATAGGGTTTGCACAAATTGGTATTTCAATGAACACAAAAGCAATTTCTTCCTTGGGGGTATGCATATTTTCTTGGGAGCAAATTCACTTTACTTTCTTCCTTGTGGTTACCCAATTTCACAGGTTTGGATCCTCAAGCACTTGGAACCTTGCCGCCAAAGTGGAAATGCCGGTTGCTTCTAGCCGGAGTTCTCTTGAGCGCTTTCACACTTAGTGGATTGTCCTTGCTCTGTTTCAGTAAAAACACAGAATCAGCAAAGATGAAAAGGGTCACTGCAGAAAAACAAGAACAAAAAGATATATTGGGATCTACGATTTGTTACCAATCGGCAAGTTCCAGCATCAAGGTCACAGACTGGATACTCATGAGGGCAGCAGCTGTAATGGTCATCACAGCAGGTGGCGGACTCTAGAGGGCAGCATCCCCATCTGAAGCAGAAGTTGCCGTACTCATAGGTGCAGCAGCATGTGGTTCCCACAGGGCATGAGTAGTAGTCGTCACACACGGTGGGGGGCTTCACAGGAGGAGGAGATGATGGAGATGGGGGAGGTCTTGGGGGGTTCTGACCCTTCTTGGTAGGGTATGAGGCCTCAATGGCAATACCGCATTTGCCAGTATTGGTGCTAGCCACATTACGTTCCAACTTGATGTAACCAGCCTCTCCCCAACTTGGACCCCATGAGTTCCTCACAATCCAGTAGTCTACACCATTTTCGGTGCCATATCCAACAGCAACCACACCATGGTCAAGATCTGTTCCACAGCGTCCAGTGAAGACACCCTGAATGGACGGATAAATAAGAACTTGTCAGAGATGTCTAGTATTGATCTTGCCAATTACGTTATCAGGCTAAGAATTAAGACCGCACATGATTCTACTGATCAACGAATCAAGCCTACAATCCAACAATGTAATGGTTACCCTCCACATGTGTAGAGTTGGAATTAGGATAGAGGCCTTACCGATTGGTAGAGTTGGAATTCCCTGCCACCAGCTTCAATGGCAACACTAATTGGTTGATGTGACACAGCCTTCTTCAAGGCTTTCTCATCATTTTCTGGAACATCTTCATAACCATCAATGGACACAACCCGAGCATTTTTCTACATAAACGCAAAAGAACTTAACACAATGATGAAATATTTTGTGCATAAACGAAAGCCAAAAGAGGTTGAATTGGATGTGTACCCTGTTAGGGTCACATGAACCATCTCGAGCATTGTAAGGGTAATCTTCCTCAGTATCAATGCCACCATTGTTGATGATGAACTGGAAAGCGTAGTCCATAAGACCTCCATTGCATCCTTGGTTGTATGATCTATCACAATCCACCAATTCTTGCTCTGACAAAGAGATCAGCTCACCAGTCACAATCTTGTTTATCCCTTCCACAGCACCAACGGTTGAGAACGCCCAGCAACTCCCTTCAATCCAAAACACATAAATTCCATTACTAAGAAGCAAAACGCAGCAGCAGCATTACATGAGGCATACCAATACCACTGTTCACAAATTCTGTATAGTACACAGGAAAATCCCATTTGCCATAATCCTAAACTACAATTACCATACGTAAACCGTTTCGTTATGTTAATGAAAAAGCTCACATATTTTATAGGTGCAGATTATCAAGATGGACTAAATTAAAGCATTATGGAGTTCTAATCCACATGCTACAATCACTTAAATATGCATAACCATCTTTTGGAGCAAAGCAAGTTTCCGACTTTTTTTCCAGGAAACATGTTTCTGTTCAACAAAAAGTAAAACATTACAAATTTGCTGTACAAAACGGCACTGCAATTTACAACAACCCATACAAACAAGCCATCCAGCCACAAAAACAAAAATAAAAACCAATTATGAACGAGTCTCACGCAATTTCATAAATCTGAAAAAGGAAAAATACTTTTGTTCTTCTCAAAATCGTTTCTTTCAGAGAAAAGACAAACAAACAGACCCATAACGCTTTCACTACATTCCAGGGTCAAAGTCTACTCAATCCAATTAGAACATGACCCCAAAAAAACATGCCCAACAACAAAAATAAATACAAAAATAAAAAGCTCACCGCATTGGCCTTGATCCTTAACCGGAGCAACAGCGCCCTTTGTCCTCCAATCGACGGACTCGGGCAACTCATCGCCGGCCCGGTACGCGTACCGGTTACTCTTTCTCGACCCGGAAAGCCTGAACCGGCGGTCCACCTTGGCACCCAAGTAAATAGACCGGTACTCCTCGTTGGTCAGATCGGCGAACCGGTTCAAACCCACCTTGTAACTCCGGCTCTGCTTGTTGTGCTCGTCGACGAACCTGAGATTGTCCTTGAAAATCTCGAACCGCCTCTCCTTCTCGCCCAAGGCGTTGTAATTTTTGCGATGCTTGACCAGCCACGACTCGTACAAGGCCTTCACCTCGGCCTCGGTCCTGTCAGACGGGACGCCCATGCCGTGCTTGTCGTCGTAGTCGATGATCGACATGTCCATGGCCGTGGAGAGGCCAAGGAGCATGAACAAAGCCATGCAGGCCAATGAGGACATGGCCCCAGAAGATCTTGGAGAATTTTTCATGTTTGATAAAATGTCTGTGAGAATGCGATGGGTTGAGTTGGGGTTGGTGGGTTTTTATATATATAGGACAAGAGAGAGAGAGGGGGGGTTTGGATTGGCTTGGTTTGTTTGATGTGCTGGATATTAAGGAGAAGAGAATGAATGGGACAGCGAATTGGGATTGGTTCAGAAGACCGAAGTTGCGTTGAAATAGGAATGAGAGTCACGTTGGTTAAGGACTGGTGGTGACCACCTCTAAATTTTGGGGAATTTGTGTGTTTGTGAGATTAGGTGTGTTTTCGGTTTGAGTTGTGCTAGGATAAGTCGCTCACGTGCACCAACTGTTGATGTACATAAATCTGCATCTTATTGAACGTTAAACTTTACTCCTGAAACCAATTGTTGATGAACATGAATCTACAACTTATCAACCATCAGAAATTGATCAAGAACTCGTGGCGATTGATCTTATCTAAATCGTTTTAGCCTTATTCTTTAATGGTTAAAAAAAAAAAAATACAGCTCCTACATAGTAGAAATATCAAATTCAATACTTTGAGTATTTTTATTTCTCCCTTACTGTCCAAAAATCTTCTTTTATGTTATCAATACTTGAAGATAATTGGCAAGTTTTGTGCCATAATTTTGGCTCAATTATTTGAGGATTGTTTGTTTATGCCATGTTTTGAATGTTTCTCTCTGCACTCCACCAGCTAGCAGTCAACACAGTCCGCCAGCTAAGTTTTCCCGAGAAACAATTCCCAAATGGCCAATTGCAAAGTAACAAGCCTTTAGTTATTTACAACTAATATTTGCCTGTATCCGGAAAACGAAAAAAACAAAACTGATATTTGTGGCAGAAGCAACAAGGGGTATGTTCGTACCACTTTGCAAAACCTAAGGGAAGGTGTCGTATAGTAGTGTAACAGAGAGCAGTGTAAAGAAAATAACAGAGATGAAAAAGAACAATTATGATTGAGAGGTAGATTTGTGCAAGATTTGATTTAGAGAAAATTTAATTGATTAAAACACTAAGGCATTAGGTTTCTACTTTTAACATAAGCATGCAACTCTTAATAATTTGATCCACAAAATATTTTCCAATGTAGTTGTTCAAAATAATTAAAGCTCTTTTTAATTTCCTTTAGAAGTATTCTAAGCATAACTTGTAACATTGGCAACAAACTATCAAAAAATAATCTTCATCAAAATTCTATTAATCTTTAGTAATTCTCGTCTCTTTTAAAAGCATGAAAGTTTTTACTACACAATGGAAAAAACATGATTGAACCCATGAAATAGATTATCAAACATTCATCAATTAATTAAAAAGAAAACTACAAATTCCATTTGAACAAAAACTACAAATTCACATTAAAGCTTAAGTTTGGATCAAACTAATAAAAATTACACACTCATATTAAAAGCTTTCCCCTTAGCCTTAGCTAGGGAGTTAGTTCCCCATAAAATAAAAACAGAAATTTAGAACTAGAAGAATTGGAGGAAGGAGAGAGAGCTCAAGAGAAGATTGTGAGCTTGGTGTGTGTTTTGAAACTTGAAGACTTCTCTATTTATAGGGCTAAGAAGGAGGAACATTATGATGAATCCCAACACCACCATTCATATTCCAATACAATCCATAACTCCCACTTCATCTTGTCTAAGTTAGTGTGGTTGGAATCAATTCCATCCCATACTTCTTTTGGCATGGGTGTGGCACTTCATGCATTCTTTTCAATTCTTTAGCTGCTGCACCTCAAGCTTTCTTCACATGGGTATTCAAAGGTGTTCAATTATGGCTACCTTTTGCTGCCAACCTATGTGGGTTTTCTTTTGATTGCTGAAAAAAAACGATTCTTCTGAACCAGGCTTGGTGTAGGAAGGCCTGAGGTTTCAATATGTATCCAATGGGGCTCAAATTTGGATATGTCATAATAGACACCTATTGGAACAACTTTTATGAAGAATGCATTCCCATCTGAGCAGTACAAGTGTACGTTTTGAGCCTTGCAAGTTGACTGCCGAAAATAGATTGGAATTGGCTTCATTTCTTTTCTTTCTTTTCTTTTTGCTTCACATGCATGCACATTCTTTCTCCTTAATAGCTCCAACATGCACCTATATAAAATCATGATATTAGAATAGAATGTAACAATTATTGCCCAATTGATAAGGGTTTGGGTGCCACTTCAAAGAGAGAGCTACCAAATAGAGAATTCAAATGAATTAGCCTACATTTCAATGAAGTGCAAATGAATTTGTAAATGCAATGGAACATTCTAATTGGTGCAAAAATCAATAAAACAAAGTACTAACAAATATAGATTAGGGATAGAAATTGTAATAATTATGTGTTTATCAGGGTAGTTTTAGGGTAGTTTCTAATTTGATTGTTGCCACTACGTATTAATTTTATGACGAAGAATCTGTGACTATTAGGTAGTTTCTAGTTTGATGGTTGCCGCTACGTATTAATTGTATGACGAAGAATCTGTGACTATCTTAGAATTTAGGCAGCAAAAGCTTTCAAAATGATGACAATTAGGCAGAATTTGGAGAAGGTCTCTTTAGAAGTAAGCACATTGCAGCACATGCTTAGATGTAGGAAACATAGCAAATTGTGGAAATGAAGCAAAATATATGTGAAACCCCGTAATTTTTAAATATATATTATATTATATTTCAGGAAATTAAAGATTTATATCTTATTTTATTACATATATTATTCTATTAAGATAAATATCTTATTCTATTTTATATATATATATATATATATATATATATATATCTTATTATATATATATATATATCTTATTATATATATGTGTATTACATATATATCCTATTCTATTATACATGGTTATGCTTAGTCATTGATATGATTTGTTCTATTTACAAATATCTCTCTATTTCAAGTCAAGCATGTCTAATTTGGTGCAACCTTTCACACTATATATATATATATATATATATATATATATATATATTGATTGGAATATATTATTCATGGAACATGAGAACTTCAATGTTGGGGTATCCGAGGGATAGATGTACCACACGGGGACATAGGGCAGTGAAGCCAATAGGGGTCACGTGGTTGGTTACACGCTATGAAGGATAACCGAAATATGAAGGGATGATGTGATATGATCTGGATTGGTGTATCTTTTCATTATATTTTCTAGAGTGTGTAAAATAGCATTGCTTGACTGACATATTACATAATCTACTCACTGAGCGGTGGTTGCTCATCCCTTACCCTGTTTAATTTTTCAGATGAATTAGTGGGCAAGACAAGGACTAAATCGGTTGAAGCTGAATTAGATGAGAGTGATAGAGCTTTATTTATTTCATTTAAAGTTGTAAGATTTTGGGATCTATTTTTATAAATAAAAAATTTATTTTATGTTTCGGCTTTCTTTGTATTTCTTTTTATTTTATTTTATTTTCTTATGCACCGGGCGCGGGATTTCCATTTACCCCCGAGTCCAGGGCGTGACAATATATATATATATATATATTTTTATATATATATATATATATATATTTTTCTTTTCTTTTCTTTTGGGAAAGATGGGAATGCCATAAATTATTGTCATCGTGTTCATGAAGATTTGAAGATTGATTAACGGGAAGCGATTTTCGCACTCCTCTTCTCTACTCATCCACTTTCCCTCTTTTGTTAGTCTTAGGAATGAATAAATCAAAGGAAAATCAAGTGACAAAAACAAGGAGAGAAATGCATAAGGTGAAAATGAGAGTGTGAAAATCACTACCCTTGATTAACGACAATTGAGCATTGCCCATCATCTTATATGTATAAATTTCTTAAATTTCTTCCCATGAATTGTGATTATCTCTCAGGATTTGTGTTTGTGGTTACCACTTTCCCACATTGGATTAAATGGAGTAAGAAAAATGTGTTCAGAGTTGAAACATGCACTTTTATATTTGCTTGTACTCAACTAGATGGAGTTCACTTATTCATGAAAAAGAAACAAGATGGTTTGTAAAGAAGTTTGGGGTAGGAATAGGATCAAATCAAACCAGTCTTAATATCTATTTATGGGGTTTATTACAACTTTTATCCATTCTAAAGATGAATTTGATGTTTCAATCATGCTCATCATGTGTAACAAATTCCAAGCAATCCCAATATTTCTACCTCATTCAACCTATGTTGTAGTTGTATCAAAATTATTATTTCTTTCACTTATATTAACATCACAGCACCATGATCTTTCTCTCTCAGCAGCCTTCCTAGTAATTTCTTTCACTTATATTAACATCACAGCACCATGATAATTTTCTTTCCATTCCTCTGTGCATAAGGTTTTCATACTCATGCACTGAAATAAATATGAAACAGAAAATTTATTCGATTTGTTTTTCGACAAGTTGTAGCCTAATCGAAATCTGGTATCGTTTTGCAATCTATTCTATGAATCACACAATGAACTGAAGTAAAGTATGGAGCCTCTCCCTCTTGCTGGTGTGCTTGCAGGGATAATATTGTTTTAGGTAGGCTTCAATCAGTAGAAATGTGATAATCCTTCTCTCTCTCTCTCTCTCTCTCTCTCTCTCTCTCTCTCTCTCTCTCTCTCTCTCTCTGGCATGTGTGTGTATTCTGCTAAGCAATAAGAATCTCTCTCAATCTTTGTGCTCTAGATGTTTTGTTTTTGGTAAATTCTGCTATATGAATTGGTTATTATAATCTATTGGCTTTAAAACAAAAAACAAAAAAAGGCAATCTGAGTACTTTGTCGATTAGTATTTTTCCTGAAGCTTATTCAATTTAAGTTGGGGACAAATGTTCTATAATTTCTGATCTATAATTATCCACTTGGTTTTGGATAGGAAAAAGCATCTATGATTGTTCTTAATTATCTCTGGTCCAGGTCCAACTTTTTTTAATTTTTTTTTACTTTGTTTGTGTGCAGATTCAGTGGATGTTTTAGCTGTTACATACCATGTGAGGTATACAATTAGATTCAACTAAAGATCATCAATGCCTTGAAGTGAGGGGAACCCAAACTGGCCTAAGACTGGCAGATGCATACTCTTCTTTTTGTTTGTTCTTTTATTTTATCATCCACCACTGATTTGATTTGATTTCTTTTGGCAAACATCCACCACTTGTGCTTTTGGTTTGTTCTGTTTTTTTTTTAATTTTTTGGTGAAAGGTTTGTTCTGTTTCATTATATGGCTTTTGTACTTGTTCAATACTTTACCCTATAGATCTTGCACTCATTTGTTGGTATTGGAGAGAATGAGACACTACATAATT